AGATAAGCACACGAGGTGGCGTCTTTTGCAAGGCCTCTAAAATTCGAACAAGTTTCTCTTCTCGTGAAACGTACTCAAATTCTTGTAAAACGTTCAACGAAGCCGCTCCAGCTCGTCCGACGTTCACGATGATTGGCCTGATAAGTGCATTCTTTGCAAAAATCTGAATCTTCTTTGGCATCGTCGCCGAGAAGAGTAAAGTTTGTCGTTGTGATCGGAAGAACGAGAAGATACTTTTGATCTCATCTTCAAAACCCATGTCCAACATTCGATCAGCTTCGTCCAGCACCAAGTAACGACACAGCTGCAAATTGAAGATCCTTTTCGTAAGCATATCCGATAGACGACCAGGCGTCGCAATGCAGATGTGAACTCCTCGATGGAACAACCGAGCCTGTTCACCAAGGGGTTCTCCACCAATGCAAAGCGCGACACGAATTTCCGGAAAACGAGCTCTCAAAAGATCTTTGCAAAGGTCCGAGACAACGTCATGAATTTGATGCGCCAACTCTCGTGATGGAACAATACACAATGCATACGGTCCCTCATCTCGCTCGAATGGTAAAGCAACTTCTTGCTCAAGCGCAAACATGACCATCGGTAAAGCAAAAGTTATCGTTTTTCCTGAACCCGTTGAAGCAATCCCGATCATATCCCGTCCCATTAATGCAACTGGGCATCCTTGAACTTGAATCGGTGTAGGTACTGTGATGTTCTTCTTTTTTAAGCCATCCAAGAGAGCTCGTGGAAACTTCATCTCCAGAAAGCTGCCAATAGGTGGTGGGCATTGCTCTCCTTCAACCGTGATTCCTCGTTTGCGACGAAAAGTTACACAATCGCTCTCATTTTGTCGACGTACATGACCAGGCGGAACCCATCCCGTGCGCAAAGAACTTGAATAAGTGACGCCTCGTGCTGCTTCTGCTATCGCCAGCAAACTGCTTTGATCATTTAGAGCCGCCAAAATGGCTTCTTCTTCTTTTCGCTGAAGATCGACCGGATCTTGTTCTTCTTGTTGATAGTCGCCATGTTTCTCAAGCAAACTCCTTTTCTCTTCCTCTTTTGCCTTTTGTTCTTCGCGTTTTCGTCGTTTCTTCTCGACTTCTTCATGCTTTGCCATTTGATTGGCGCCTGCTGTGAGAACATTTTGAACAAGAGCTCGTCGCACAGCTTTCTCTTTACGCCGACGATGAGCCGGGATGAACGATTCGAGTTCGATATCGGAGTCACCTGATGACAAAAATCCCTCACGTCGTCGAGCCCTCTCCTCGGCTTCAATTTGCTTCCGACGATTCGTGTATTTTGCCAACGTCTTCGCCACATCAATATCTTCAGGCTGTCCTTCTGCCATTTCTGAAAATTTCAAAAGTACTTTGGTACATACATGCCTTTGAAAAACGATTTTAACTCTAGAAAAAAAAAATTACTGCTTGGATAGCGCTTGCTTTTTTATAAGAACTTAAACATGAAAAATTTATTCCTTTTAATCACCAAATTTGCACATTTAACATTCATAAGAACCACTCTATAATTGGTTAAAATAGAATTGGGAATCTGTTCATATATAATGGGGTATATCCACAAATGAATTTCAACTTTACATCACAGAAGACACAAAATACCCATGGAATACAATAAAGAAACTCAGGTGTTGAGATTTCGCGAAGAGCAAGACAAAATTTGGGTATTGAAAAATAGAATAGGAAAAGTGCTAACAGTAAAAAGGATTGTTTTAGTCGGTGCGCTTTTCCGAGTGCTTCTTGGTGAATTCTTCGGCGTTTTTGAGAAACTTCTTCCGATCCTTCTGGAACTCCTCGGCGAGCTCAGCACGAAGAGGATGGTCGGGCTCGGGGTCGTTGATGAGTTGAAGAAGAGCCATGAGCACTTGCTCGGTGCGAGTCGCTGGTTTCCAGTTGTCCGGATGAACGATTCCAAGACAGATTTGTCCTTGCTCGTCAATGTTTGGATGATAGATCTTCGTCAAGAACGTCAGCTTTGGCGGCTTGAATGGGTAGTCGGCTGGGAAATCGATTTGCACTCGGAAAGCTCCCTTTGAGTAAGGCTCCTTGTCGGGATGCAACAACACTAAAAACACAGATCGATTGATATTCTAACTTTAAATAGTTGGTGCTATAGTAGTTGGGCGAGGGGCAGTTTTTAAAACCGATTTTTTCGAACTAGCCACTAGCTTTTAAAACTTTTTTTCTAGGGTAATTAACTGCAATGAATCCATTGAAAGCATTTATAAACGATTCTGAATAAAAAAACCTTCATTTTCCAACTTTTATGCCAGTTTGAGCAACAATTTCGAGCCTTTAAGAGTGGCTCTACTGGGTTTAAAAGATGCAGGATTGAGTTAAGACGCTTAAAGCCACAGTCACTGCTTGAAATAGCTAGAAAAAAAGTTATCAAAGCTTAAATAAATACCAAATAAAGAATCTACACCATTAAAAAAACCCTAGAAGCAAAAATTAGTGAGCTTTGGCTCAATCGAGATGAATGTACACTGCCCACCCAACTACTATAGCACCAAATAGTTTTCATTTAATAAGTCTACCTTTAATAACAAAACTAATACAATATAAAGAATTTCATTAAAGTTCAACCTGTCCAATGTAGCAAATTGCTTTCGTTGTACTCGACCGAGCTGTAGGGTTTGGCGCCGGACCCTTGAATATCCGCTAGCTCTTTCTGGAGCCGTCTCGAGATCGACATTGTCAGGCTTTCTAAAAATAAAAAGTTAACTAGATGAAAACTTAATATAAAGCAAAAAGAAAAGGTACTAATAAACTTAGGGAGGCCACTTTGACTCGACTTGATCAGACTAATCTAAAGACTTATTCTAGACTTGATCAGACTTTGTTTCTAATCTGTTTTACATTTTCTAAAATAATCAACCACGCTTAACCGATTGACGATATTTTTCTAATATTTTGAACAAGTTATCCACTTTATATTTTGCCTCTCTTCTCATTTTCAAGCTTAGCAACATAGCAACACTACAGAGGCAAAACTCTAGCAAAAAGGCAACCTAAGCCTAAGCCTGAGAACTTTAGCTAGTTCTCGAAATATCAATAAAAATAGCGGAAATCAGCCTACCCCGTAAAAATTATTCAACTTTTTACTTATTCAACTAAAACTTTTTCAAGATATTATCTAATATCTAAAAAATACAAAATATACATTATTTTTGATTACCCAAGGAAAAGTAAATTAAATTTAGTAAAAATTTCAAAAAAAAAAAAATACAAATTGATCAAGTGAGATCAACGTGTTTCCTCAAAGGAAATCATGAAATGATAAAATTATAAAATCATGTAATCATAAAATCATAAAATCATCTTCCAATCATCTTGCACAACTTTGATGAATAAAAATTTCGTAAAATGGTTGCTCGACATTCAAAAACAATGTGTCTTTTGTTGCGTCGCGTTGCGCGGTGGTGCTACGGTAAATACGAAAGTCTAACTTCTAGAAAAATAATTCCTATCAACAAAAGCTGGAAATTAGCAAAAGCTGAAAAGCAAATTAAAGCAGTAAAGCTTTCAGAATTGTTGAATTTTCAAAGTCAAAACCGGAAAAAAAAAGTGCGCCAATTGGTTTCCCAATGTCATACAATGTATGAATGAATGGATGAATGAATGAACGTTTTCTACAAATGTTAAAACATCGTTTACGATAAATAGGCTCTTACTGCGCTTACTTTGCATAAAATTTCAATTAGATCAACCTACTTTGCGCCAAATTTTTTGTCAAATTGCTCAACTTTCCATAACTTTCTTTAAAGTCGACCAATCTTTATGATTTTGGTGTTATTTTGTTGCTGTTGTTGAGATCTATAAAATGACATTAAAATGATAAAGATTAGCTCACTTAGAAGAAAGTTATGGCGAGTTGCGCCAAAAAATTTGGCGCAAAGTAGCCACTTTCTCTTCTTCTCTCTCAACTTCGGCACTTTCTCCGCACCACACTTTCTCGTTCTGTTTTTTTCGCAAAAAAAAACAGATTACCAAGTACCAAGTACAACAATTCACATTACTAAAGTCAAAGTTCACATTGAAGCGCTTATTCATGTTTCTTTTTGGTAGAGTTCCCACGTCTCATTTTTAACCCCTTCAAGTGTACGGATGCAGTGCAGCGTGAGAGATTTTGGGGTGTGCAATGTGCAATGGGTTTCCCTTGTCAAGGTACTTCCGGTGACCGCTCGGAGACCAACTTGGATCAGTGCATTTCCATCATACTACTAGCTTGTTCTGAATTCGTTCTTCAAATCCTATTCATGCACAATCACGAAGATCGTCAATCATTAGTAGGTTGTTAAAAGATTCAAAGCAAAAAATTCTCAACGCAAAATCCCTTCAGATACGGTCACTTTTCTTGAATCTGAGATTTCGAAATTGGCTATCGAAAACGAGGCTTTACACCGAGAAGCTGTAAGGGTTGAAGAACATAAATTTCGGGGAGAAATGAAATTCAGAAGCGTTTTGATCGCGATCGTCGATCAGTTGAAACGCGAAGTGCAAGCACACAACGAAAGCTCGTAGATACGGTAGATTTGAGCGTAAAACTAAACCGCATCTTGATAGAGAATACAATAGACATAAAAATGGGCACTACAAACGCTTCTAACTTGCTTCAAATCTTTCGGATTGCCATGATCTATAGCTTTAAAAAATCGAGAGCTCTCAAGAGCTTTCAAATGGATCAAAGAACACTCAAAAATCTCATTCAAGAAAGTTACAGTGATTTCTAGTCTGACTACGCTCGAGTACGATCCATTTTCTTACAAATCACTGTAACTATCTTTAGAATTGATATTTTTCGTTGTGCTTTAGTCCATTTGAAAGCTCTTGAGATTCTCTATTTTTTTAAAGCTATAGATCATATCAATCCAACAGATTTGAAGAAAGTTAGAAGCTTTTGTAGTATAACAGTCCATCATTTTTGTAGTTTTTCGATGTTTAAAGTCCAATAGATGGGGGGAAAAACTCTAGGAGAAAATGCTGCGTTCACGGGATGACCAATTGGAACGAGCTGATCGGCACATTAGAGAGTTAGCTGAGAAGTTGAGAGAATTGCAAGACGAGAGACAAGTTAGTGCAAATATCAAGTTGCCTAATTACCCTTTCTTTAGCAACTCGAATCAAATTGGAATCAAGTCGAAGAACGTTACGAAAGAGAACTTCAAGCAGCTCAGAAGAAGATTCATCAAATTCGCGATAGAGCCGACCATTTAGAAGAAACGTGTGCTATTCTACGGGTGAGCTAACAACAAATTTTAGCTCCATTAGCTCCCCATCAAATAATAGCTCCATTAGGTCCATCAAATCATTAAAAACCCATTCTAACTCTATTCAAATTCTAGAAAGAACGAGATCACCTAACTGCTAGAAGATCATACCAGGTATGACAAAAACCAATGAACGCCAAGATAATCAAGATAATCAAACTCACAGGATGTTGCCGATGATCTGATTTTTGGGCGAGAACAAAGCCATGGATCACTTAAAAGTCATCACACAGCTAATGGAAATATCCCCAGATCTACGAGCTACCAGGTACCAATGATTAGCTGGATTACGGTATTCAGTCTAGATTAGAGTATTCAGGGGGTAGGCTAGTTTCCGCAACTTTTTTTTGGGTCATTTGCGCAACTCACCATAACTTTCTTCTAAGTGGGCTAATCTTTATGATTTTAGTGTCATTTTATTGCACTTATTGAGATCTACAAAATGACACTAAAATCATAAAGATTAGCCCACTTAGAAGAAAGTTATGGTGAGTTTGCGCAAATGACCCAGTTGCGCAAAAAAAAGTTGCGGAAACTACCCTACCCCGTATTCAGTCTAGATTAGAGTATTCAGTCTAGACTGTCTGGATTACGGTATTCCACACTTCAAATTAGCAAAATTTCAAATCAAAAACCCTTCAAATTCGCAAAAATTTAAGATATTTTAAAAATGTAAACCAGCATTTCAAAAACTTCAATCAATATTCAATAAATTTATTATTCAAAGGAAAAAAAAAGAAACCAATAAAAATAAAAGGAACCAATAAAAGAATCAAAAAAAGAAAAAAGTTTAGAATTTGATTCGACCCTCATACTGCACCTGTCAATGTGGGCAATGAATCAAAAAGAAAATGACACACAACTAAAATCAATACCTAATCGATAAAACAATACCCAATAAATGGATATCGAAAAAATAAATCTTTAATCTGTGGGCGGCTCCTTTTTGATTTCTCTCAAACTTTCGACTTTTGATAGTGTTTCTTCAGTTTCTAAAGCAGTTTTGCTAAAAAACAAACAAAAAAAAACTCCAACCAAGTTTTGGCATTTTGAACAAAGCTTGATCTTCCTCTTCTACAAAATCACTCGTCAAGCACTCTGTTGCATTTCTGTTCCAAAACGAGATAAAATCCTCTAGTTTTGATTCACCCCAAGAGTTGGAATAGTTTCCTTAAAACAAAAAAAAAATCCATTATTATTGTAATTTTTATAGTCTTTACTTTTCTGACCATTCGTTCTCCGTGTAACTTCTTTTAAACTTGATTGTTTTGATCGAGGAGGAGAGATTTCTAAAGTAGATTTAATTTATCATGAGCATACTCAAAGCTTTACATTAGCTCTGCTTAGTGTGCTCAAAGCTTACCAGTTATTCCACGAAGCACACTTGCTGATTCTTGTGATGACGCTTTCAACGCTGACATAATGGTGTAATGAAGTTTGCTTGTCGCCTAAAAAGCATCAATTTTAGCCATAACACTAGATTTAAATTCTTTCTACACATTTTAAAGTTTTATATTTCAAAATTGATAACAGAAAAACCCCTACCCGAGATCCATCGTGTCCTTTATAGTGTCGTCGGCAAATGCGCACATCAGCAATGGTCTTTTTCTCAACTCTAAACATTGTAATAAAAAAAAAACAGGAGTCTATAAAATCGTACCTGCTTAAGAAAGGTCTAGGAAATGGTGAGCTGATCATTTGGGGTGCAAATCTAAAATGCAAACAAACAAATCTTATCATAATCGATTCTTAATTGATCATAATCGATCATAATCAATTCTTAATTGATCCTAATCGATTATAATCGATCATAATCGATCATAATCTTATCATAATCGATTCTTCATCAATTCTGAATTGAAATTGAAATATTACCCTCCATAAGTGTCAAGTAAATGAACTTTTGCTTGACAATAGTCACAAATCACCGACATAAGGAACAACTAAATTTATGAAAGGATTAAAAACTATATAATACCCCGAAACGGAACCTCTCCTTTCCGACTTGAAATAAACTTCTCGCCAACGTGTGAGCGACAAATTCTTGTTCTCGAGTCAAGGAGAACCTTCCAGAACTCTCCCATTGATTGACGAACCGATTCGTTTTGCATAGTGAAATATTCACCGGGAAACTTTCGACAAATGCGGCAATTTTCCTGAAAGAAGAAGTTTTTCATATTTTTCAGTAACTAATCAATAAATACCGTTACTCCAGTCAAAAAGTGCTTATTGCAGAAGTAAAGTGACTCGGATGGCATGTTACGTACTCTAAATTTAAGATTGATCTTTCTTTAAAGATTGATCTTTCGTTTAAGGTTGATCTTTAACAAGAAAAACATAAAAATTACCTTTCCGCAAGATGAGAAGGAAAAGAATGAGGTAAATGATCAGGATTATCGACGGGCACAGCTTCAACAGGTGAGCAAAACGTTTCACAGTATTCACAAAAGACACAATCGACTGTCACCTAAATTTCGATTTACCAAGATCCAAAGAAACAAACCTTTCCAAACTTTGCCGACTTTCCATTATGAAAACTTCGAAAATTGACATCGATTTCGCCTTGAAGTAATGCTTCGGGAAAATGTTTTCTGTAGATAATGTTTTCTTTTTCATATCGTCGTGCAATAGCAGCAAAAAGCACCTGCACATTCGTGCTCCTTCGATTGGCTCCCAACAATTTGGTTCAATATATCGTCCCAAAGCCTTAAAATCAATAAGTTTAATCAAAGCGATCATCAGAAACATACAAAACTCGATGCCGGATTGATTGGCGTGATCCAAGGAACCCCAATTCGTCCACATTTAGCGCATCCATCCTTTAAAAAAAAAAAAAAAATAAATCCGAATCAAAAACCATAAACTAGTTGAAATGCAATTGTAAAACGTGCCTCAAATCCGATTTCTCGTGCATAAACTTGAGCAAATGGTGTTTCCGCGTAACTGATAAGTTGATTCTAGAAATTGTATTGTATTGTATTGTGGATTGGATTGGATTGGATTGTATTGTATTCTATTCTGATTCTTCTTAATTCTATTATATTCTGATTCTTCTCGATTCTATTCTATTCTGATCCTTCTTAATTCTATTCTATTCTCCTTGATTCTATTCTATTCTGATTCTTCTTAATTCTATTCTATTCTATTCTAATTCTTCTTAATTCTATTTAATTCTATTATAATTCTTCTTAATTCTATTCTATTCTGATTCTTCTTGATTCTATAAATTGTATTAATGAAAGTTTTAAAAAATTCAAAATTTCCTCACCCCGGGATACATTTGTTTCATGATAGCATTCAACGAATCCTAAATTGAATCGTTATTTCAAATCAATTGAAATAATGGTTTGACAAACAAATCTTTTCGCTCTTTTTTTAAAAACAACGAATGCATCGATTGAACGACAGTTTCATTAGAAATTCTTCCATTTGAAATGGCAAATCATTTTTCTACCAAAACCACATTGAAATGGGTTTCAAATTAATTTCTTATGTGTTAAACGGAGCTCAGCCATTTTTTTAGGGGCAAGAATTTGGGTAGTCAAAAGAAAGATCGACGATTCAATGATATGATTCAGGTACTTTGACTAGGTAATCCAGGTAATATTTTCGTGTCAATAGATAAAAGATAGAGCCCAAAATGTTAGAAATATAGACAAATTTTCAAAGAAATTGAATCATCAAATCAAGCCAATTTCTTTGTAGGCGTTTTGAATAGATTTTTACGAAAAGAAAAAAAAAGCTGTTTTTGCATTTTGATTTGCTTGGAAATGGATCGAGATCAAATCAGATCAAGAGATCAAAAAAAAAATTGGAAATCGAATCCAAAATCATTTCTGATCTTTTTAATCGAATCGCAGATCCTTTCTAATCTTTTTAATCAAATCATAGATCCTTTTTATTTAGAGTAAACCTTAGGTAAATGGATGAATTGATTTTAAAACAGCAGTATGACAAAAAGAACATAAAGACTTATTTTCCAAGACCAAAAAGACTTGTTTTCCAAGACCAAAAAGACTTATTTGCCATATAAATACGATAATTCAAAAGAAAATAAAAAACCCAACTCACATTTGAAACACTTTTGCTCGTTGTCGGACCATACCATGAATGCTTTTGATGTATTTCACAAATCCACAGAGTTGGTGATTTTGGGGTTTCTATCTAAAAAAAAACTTCAAAACTTTCTATTAATTTACTTTACTTTACTATCAAGATTTACTATCAAGGACGATTTAAATTCCTAGTTTTCTAGCTCCCTCTACAAAACAACACTAGCACATCGATGCCCTTTCCACACATCCAAAAGCAATACCCGTTTCTTCTTGAAGAGATTCAAGAAATATTTTGGCTCAGGAAGAAAATTTGCTAATCGATCATCGAAGAACTCGGCAGCAGCAAGATTGATTATCTAAAAACAATTTTACAATTGTAATAACATGATGTAAGAACTACCTTTGTGGCCTCACTCTGATCAACTTTAGTTTGACAAAAAGCGCAATCGACTAATTCCATTAAATTTTCTGTAATGTATTCTCATTTAAAATGAAAATGATAAAATTATAAAGCAAATTGAAAACTCGAAAGAATAAAAGAATGCCATGCAATCTTTTCTTTGGCATACGGTAGCTACAGCAAGAAATAACGGTGCTTGACTCTTTCTTACTGTAATTCGAGCGCAAAATAGCCAAGTAAAAAGTTGTCTGTCTTTCCAAGCGTTTCTCTATTGCTTTTATTAGTCATTGTAAACATTTTATTCAACGAAGAAAATCCACAATTAACATAATTAAAAAATTTAAACCCGAAACTTAAGATCGAGTGTATCGAGATTGAAAAAATGACAACGTACAAAAATTTCAACAAACCAAAAAAAGTCATCAACTTCAAACAAAAGCAACAATTTCATAATGAGAAACCTTTAGCCGCTTTATTCTTGGCCATTTTCTTCATCAACAACATCTTCTGATTGACCATCATTATTTTCCAACGGCTCCTCTGTCTTTTCTGCCAGTCTTGGTTCTAAAAGTTACAACTAAATTAAAACAAAACGTTTAATAAACTTTTCCATTCTCCATGTGATTGACGGTTTGATGGTTCTCTTGGTTTTCCACCTGAAACCACCATTAACTTAATTTGAAATCGAGTATTAAAAACGAACCTTTCTTACGGAAAACAAAGACAATGTACATCGAGACAGCTTCCCACTCGGGCTTGGACAATGTACCCTAGAATAGACAAAGCTACTTCAAATGCACGTAGTTACAAAAATACAATATAACTTTAAAACAAACGATGCTCGCCATATCGAACTGATCCTGCAACTTCTTCGGGTGTTCATAATCCTCATCAGCTCCAGCTAGCTTTTTATCACCAGTTGCAGGATAAGTTTCGAGGGCCTTCATTCGATCGAATAAAATTAAACCTAAAACAATCGTAAGACATTGTATAATTCAAAATTCGAACCATCTCTTCGAGCCTCCTTATAATGCTTGATGGCATCCGGGAAAGGAAGCTGGTACACCAATTCCATATCACATTCCTCAAGCATTCTAAAAAATTCCTTTTGAATAATCTATTAATTACGAATTACTTCACGAGCAATGGGAAATGGCAGAGAAACTCAGGACAGTTAACCTAAAAAAAATCAAAGTATACTTTAAATTAACACAAAATACTTGAGCATCCAATGTGAAATGGAACTCCGATCCAAAAAGCGGTGGCTGAGCTCCGTTTAATATTTCTTCTGGTTTTGAAAATTTGATACTGCAAACGGAGTTCTTGAATTCTCCATCACCTTGTCGTGCAGCCCATCTAAAGTACATTATTTGTTATTACGTTATTTTCTTGAAAATGAAACTTACACTATCCGATTTGCATCCGGTAGACTACCAAGAAAATATCCTCCAGGACGAATATTTTCAGTGCAATTTTTCAAGAACCTAAATGAAGTGTAAAGATTCTAAGAGCAATGTCTCACATTTGTGCACTTTCTTGAGTGATGAACGAATAATGCAAAGCAAATTGACAGCTAACGAGATCGAATTGTTGCTTCTCTTCGTACTTCTCGAGTAATCTTTCCTAAAAAGCTTTCTTTGGTAATCTTTCTTTTCCGATCTTCGAGTAATCTTTGCTTTCAAGCCAAGAATGAATAAAATCATTTAGATGCATATTAACGGGAATTCTTAACGGATCTTAATGGGAACGGGAATTTGAAAACTCACCTTACAACAATCAGCGACAATAAATTGCGCAGCGAAGTTGGCTTGTCTACGTGCTTGCATCTCTTCATATCGACCTTTAGCTTGATCAATGGAAACTTCAGCAATATCTAAAAAAGTGTTGTTATCTATTGCTTGCAAAGGTATACTTATCTTCAAAAACAAAATGCTTTACCTGCCATAACGATGCTCTTAACATTAGCAAACTGCCATTTTCTCAAATCACCGCCTTTTCCACAAGCAAGATCGAGGACACGCGGATTGTAGCAACCATCTCTTTTCAAACGATCCGAAATGTCTCCTAAATTTGAAAAGCGTTAAAGAATCGCTGAAAAATGAATCAAACCAACCAATCAAAGCACTTTTGATCCAATTGTTCATATTTCTCATAAAGAATATCCGGCTATCGACTCGATCCATGACTGGCTGTTGGGGGACCGCGTTGTAGTGTGCAGCAACCCTTTCATTCTTCGCTGCTATTTCGTCGACGCTCATCTAAAATAAATAATAAACGTCAAACACAATAAAAAAAATGAAACTTTTTAGATAAAAAATAAGTTTTTAACCAATAAAATTCACTCCGAAATAGTTCACGCTTTATTCATTTTCAGATATGTACAAAACAAGATAAAACATAGAAACATAATATTAACAAAGGAAAATTTAATTTCAATCTAATTGCTTTCGCCATCGCCTTCCGAGTCACTAAAATCAAATAATTTCCTTTATTTATTGTAAAACATACGAATAATCTCCATAAGCAACCAGACTTGACACGGGCTTCTGCACAGGGGATTCCTAAATGAAATTCATCATTTCATCAATGAAATCAATAGCTAATTCCTTATTTAATGGCTTAAATATCTACCTCATTAGTTGATTCTCCAGACGCTGAAGTTTCTTGTTCCTTCTTGGTCACTTTCGACGCCGTTCCCTCATCTGTACTGCTAAAAAGAGATAAAATAACAAAATTTGATCCCTACCCTGTTTTTCGCTTAACAGCTCCAACGAGAAGCCGGGCTTGTTTATTCTCGACGGGTTTCGTTGAAGGAACCGGTGGCCGCAATAGAGTCGGTTCGATTGCTGGGATTACAGTGTTTGATAGTGTGGCCAACATCTCCTTCTCTTCCTAAAGATAAAATGTATTTTAGCAACAAACTTCTTGAGTATAAAGAGGCTAAATTGAACTTCATGGTCCAAAATGTCAAAAGTAAAAGCAAAAGTTTAAAATTAAATCTTTTTTGTTTAAAAATTCTTTCTTTTTCTATAACTAGGCATAATAAAGTATAAAAACTGATTTTGAATGGATTTTGGCTCTGGCCGGTAAAGTTCAATTTAGCCAAAACAAACCTGTTTCCTTCGTCTTTCTTCTTCGAGTTTCTTTTTGCTGACCATTGCCAAGAAGTCGGCTTCATCCTCGTCAACGCCGCGTATCATGTTTTCTAAATATACGTAATTTTATGGAATAAAACTCTCATTTAAAATTTTTATATATGTTGTGTCCGATTTAGATTGAACTTATCGCGGACCTCCGATTTAGATTACAGTCTATATCGGACGTCCGATTTAGATTCAATCTATATCTTATATAGATTGAAAAAATAATATAAACATGCTTAATATATGTTCTTAAGCGTTTTATTGTTGTTAAAAATAAGTAGCGTTTTATTGTTTTATTGTTCAATCTATATAAGATTTAGATTGAATCTAAATCGGACGGAAATCTAAATCGGACACAACATATATATTTCAAGGCATAGCCACTATCTTTCAAGATCTTTCTACTTTCAAGACAATCTTTACATCAAAAACTTACTAAACGACTTTGCTTCATCAATTTCGGCTTGTTTCTTGTCCTTGTTTTCCTTGAGTTGATCAAATAACGATTTGTTGCACACCTCGAGCTCGGGAGCAACTAAAACAAAATAGATAAATTGAGGCTTTAAATGAATATACTTTCTCAAAGCTAGTCCAGTTTTAAAGCTAGTCCAGTTTTAAAAGCAATTAAAATATAAAGAAAGATTGTAAAAGTAAAAATTTCAAAGAATCGTTGTCAAATTCTAGTGAGTATATGATCTAGTGAGTATATTTTTAACATCAATCTAAACCTTTCTTTAGATCTTTGAACCAGAATCTTAGAACCAGAACCTTAGAACCCAGATCTTTATTTTAAAACTTTTAAAACTAAAACTCAAACAAATTGTCCAACCTGCTGGATCATCCGGCTTCCTCACTCGTTCCCATTCATCTTGCCTCGCTTTTCTCTCATCGTCCAATTGCGTCTCCGAGACGAATCCGCTTGACATTATCTAAATTTCAATAAAATTATAAGATTAACAATGAAAAAAAAGCGCTGAAAAATGCTAAAAACTCATAAAAATGGTCGAAAATGGGGATTTTTACATCAAACTTGAGCCAAAATTGGATTTTTCGAAGAGTAAGTTTCAAAAAAGGTTTTCCACAACACTCCTTTCCGCACTTATAACATCAAAAGGCTGTTTACCCCTAGCTCGGCCACTCTTTCACAACCCTATCTCAACTTTTGCATCATTAAAGCTAAGCCTATTGCTATAAAACCCTAATATTCTATAGAATTCTATTTTTAAACAATCTAAACATGCCAGAAGATTGGCCGGATCAATATTTTGGCACCTGGTGGCGATCACCGTTTGAGGAATTCAATAAGGAGTTGCAAAGGATTGAAAAGTGAGGAGCGAGGGATGAGGGATGAGGCAATTGCGACTTTTTTTTGCGCAACCGGTCAAAAGCACAACTTTTCACACGATTCCCAGTCAAAAACTCCCCGTTCTATCATTTTTTTCGTTGAGCTAAGTTTATATACAAGTTAGTATCCAATTAAATGTAATGTTTTTGCACTTCTTTTTTCAATATTTATGAATTAACAATAAACGATCAGTGCTTTAGCAATCAATAACAACGATTGCTAATTGGCGCGATGATCGTCTGATCAAGATCAATCGCGCCACATCTTGATCTTGATCGCGCCATCTTGATCAAACGATCATCGCGCCAATTAGCAATCAATAACAACTAACATTATTCTAGACTAATCAAAAAAGCCAAACGATCAAGAAAACTAGCACAATCAACGAAAGATCGACAGAACTATTAAACGGATCGACAAAACTATTAAACGACGTAAGCAAACCATGAACTTTTTCTTGGCGTTTCTGTTCTTGTTTTGTCAGAGCTTCTCGCGGAAGCTCTTTGATTGTCAGAGCTCTTTGATTTGATCGATCTTCGCTCGAAAATAGTCCAATTCATCGCGCCACATCTTGATCAGATCCTTGATGCTGGGGACATCCTTAACACAAACATTACTCAACAAAATCCTTAACACAATCATTACTCAACAAAATTGAAATAACTTACTTGCTATTTGATTTCAAACTCGCACCTTCAACTGGATTGTTCGTTCTTGGGCCCATATTCTTACAATCATTCTCTAGCCCACCTAAAAACCATAAAACTTGACAAGAATTTAAGAAAACCAATGAATAAAAGCATAAAAACCAAAAACTTCGCTTAAAAAGAAGCATAAAACCTAAAAAACAAAACAAAAAAACAAAAAAGCCTTCCCTTTCAAAAAGCTGTCCAAAAGAATCCTAATGTAGCGCTAGTTATGTCTACTAGGCGTAGAAGAATAAAAAAACATGATGTAAATAAAAATAACCAACCTGTAACCTAGCTCAACGAACAAAAAAATGATAAGACGGGAAAACGGGAAAAGGGGAATAGGGGAATAGACATGCAATCCGATCCAATCGGATTGACTCCATCCAATTTTTCGCCTTTTTTCCGCTGGCAAAATTCTTAGCTTTCCCTAAACCTATTCTAAAACTTTTAGCATCATTCGATAGGGAAAAAATTAGCGAATAGCACGAAAAGTGTCTAAATTGAAAAAACATAAAAGAAAGTTGGCCAAATTTGGACACTTTTGATATAATTCGATAGCTAGTTTTTTCTCTATCTCTTCAAAATCCATCTTTCTCTAAAAGTTTTAGAATTATTTTAGGGAAAACTGAGAAAAACGTATTTTCCCAAAAAGCGACGGCAAAAAAGCGAAACTGGGCGGGGCCAATCTGATCGGATCGATCGGATTGGCCCCGCCCACTGGTTGGTTATGGGACAAAAGATCTAGACAGGAATCTTTTGTCCCATAACCAACAAGTATCCCCATTGCCAGAGGCAAACTCCCGTAAATATTGTAATTGGAACCCATGGGGTACTATTTTTTCCCTCCCCCTCTAGGGTGGGGTACTATTAGAGGCTGAGGTAGTATTTTACACCACTACCCCATTTTCTCTACTATAAGACTACTACTATAGACTACTACTATAGACTACTCCTATAGACTACTACTATAGGCTACTAGACTACTACTATAGGCTACTAGGCTACTACTATAGGCTACTACTATAGGCTACTACTATAGGCTACTACTATAGGCTACTACTATAGGCTACTAGACTACTACTATAGGCTACTAGACTACTACTATAGACTACTCCTATAGACTACTACTATAGGCTACTACTATAGGCTACTACTATAGGCTACTGCTATAGGCCACTATAGACTACTACTATAGGCTACCACTATAGACTACTTTCCTCTCCCTAAAAAGCCCGAAAAATGCTTAGTTTTTTGTTTCCTCTATTTCAAGCCAATTGCTTAAATATTTGTCTTACTACCGTAAATACTGTAATAGTACCCCACCCCCATAATGACGGTGCGGAGCGTTGCGTAGTCTAGCTTTGAACAATTTTTTCTCGACACTGGTTTAAGCTACAAGGCGCGCTTAGGTATCAAAAAAAATAGCTGAAATTCAGGGCTATTTTTTGATACCAAAGTCACATTTTTTGAAAGTACGGGTGCTTTGCAAAAAATGAAATACTGAAAAACTTTTGCGACTACGCGACTGTACGAGGGGGGGGTGGGGTCCAATTACAGTATTTACGGTAGTTATTTAGGAGATTGTTTTTTTTTGCTATGTATAGGCAGACACCGTGTTTTCACACATTACAAAGTAGACATAGGCAAATTCATAGATGCGCTGGGATGGGACAAAATAATTTTTGATGCTTAGAGAACTTTAGCAGGTTGCCAATTGCTTAGATATTATAAAAACCGTAATTCCCTAACTAGGAGGCAATACCTTCGCTTACAATTGTTGAGCTAACAATTGTTGAGCTAACAATTGTAAGCGAAGGTACCAAACTGTTTCACACAGTAATATCATATTTTTTTCCTTTCTTTTCACATATTCTATTTATTTAGAGTAATAATTGAAATAAGCTGGGATGGGTCAAAATTTCAAACAAAAAAAGAAACAAAAAAAGTACTTTTGATTACCCTAAACTCTAAAAAGGATACTTGTCGATTTTCCCGGCTACTAGAGATGATTTTCCCGCAATGCAAGTTCGAGACATTAATGAAATCTATTTCGACATGATCGTTTATCCCAAATCTAGTTTGTTTTGTCTCAAAGCTGTAGTATCATTCCATTAGAGATGTGGGGGGCACTATTAGCGAGGTGGGGGCACTATTAGAGATGTGGGGGGGCACATCCGCGCGAAATAAAGCGAAAAATCGTTTTCTATCCGTTTTCCATGTTTGAATAGCCATTCAACGCAGAAAAATGTGCTGATTTCAATGGTGAAAAAATTATCAAAATCCGTCTGATACATTTTTTAAAAATCGCATTTTATCGAAAAAATCGCACTTTTACAAGCAACTCGCTCGCAGTGACCAACTTTCGGCGGCTCGTTTTCAGCGTGGTCGAAAGATTGCGCCCTCAAAAACCGATAACTTTTGTGTGGACCTTTATAAAGATCATTTTGATACCAAAAAAATAAAAATCGATCAACTCTGCGAAGACTTGATGCCTTTTTAAGTTGAAAATGACGTTTTGCGACTTTCTGCCCGCTAAAACGTGGGCAATCGCCAACAACCTATTTAAAGCAGCCAGACATTTATATTACTCTATTTGAATTTGTCCTTTTTCCCAGAGGCTTTTAACTTATATTTAACTTATCTCTATTTAAATTGTTGATAAACAAACTCTTAGTAAGCTTTTTAATAGTTTCGGTATATTTCTTGTTCACAAAGAGACGGTTAACCAACTACCTGCAGTCATTTTTTTAGCTTTTTGATTAATTCGTTTCTTATTTCAGAAAGTTTATCAGCGTTATATTTATTCAATTTGTTAATCTCGCATAAATTTTGGTATCGAAATGCAAAAAAATGTTGAAAGAAACGCTTCAAAGACCCAATTAAACCTGTGATTTGTCATCGCTTGGAACATCTTGCTCTTTTCGTTGCTTTGATGTGGTGGTGATGGCTAAAATTCGTCCAAACAAAGCAATCTATTTTAAAAAACTTCCCTTAAGCATTAATCCAAAATTTGCAGACACATGACGAAAAAACACGACGAGAAAAGCCAAAAGAAAAGAATAAGGAAATGAATGAAAGGAAACAAGCGCGGCTTTTCTACTTCATGCTTTTTGACACGTAAATAGAGTAATATAAATGTCTGGCTGTCTGGCTTTGTCTCTTTGTGAACAAGAAATATACCGAAACTATTAAAAAGCTTACTAAGAGTTTGTTTATCAACAATTTAAATAGAGATAAGTTAAATATAAGTTAAAAGCCTCTGGGAAAAAGGACAAATTCAAATAGAGTAATATAAATGTCTGGCTGCTTTAAATAGGTTGTTGGCGATTGCCCACGTTTTAGCGGGCAGAAAGTCGCAAAACGTCATTTTCAACTTAAAAAGGCATCAAGTCTTCGCAGAGTTGATCGATTTTTATTTTTTTGGTATCAAAATGATCTTTATAAAGGTCCACACAAAAGTTATCGGTTTTGAGGGCGCAATCTTTCGACCACGCTGAAAACGAGCCGCCGAAAGTTGGTCACTGCGAGCGAGTTGCTTGTAAAAGTGCGATTTTTTCGATAAAACGCGATTTTTAAAAAATGTATCAGACGGATTTTGATAATTTTTTTACCATTGAAATCAGCACATTTTTCTGCGTTGAATGGCTATTCAAACATGGAAAACGGATAGAGAACACCATTTCGCGCGGATGTGGGGGGGCCCTATTAGAGAGGTGGGGGCCCTATTAGAGATGTGGGGGGCACTATTAGAGTGTGTGGGGGGCACTATTAGAGATGTGGGGGGCCCTATTAGAGAGTGGGGGGGGCACTATTAGAGATGTGGGGGGCCCTATTAGAGTGGTGGGGGCCCTATTAGAGATGTGGGGGGCACTATTAGCGGGGTGGGGGC